TAATTTAATTTAATTTTTAATTTTTAAAGTTGTCCATAAACTTTTATCCATCCACTGTATTACTTGGATTTTAAAAAAAGATGTATTTGAAGTTTTATATTAATTGAATTATTATTAATAATGAAAAAAAAAAAAGTTTTTTTAGACCTGTGGGTCCATAGTACAGTGGTTAGTGCTCCACAGGTCAGATCACAAGATACCGGTTCAATCCCATATGAAGGTGATTGAACAGATTATTATGGTATCTGGCACCATAACCAGTTATGTGCTGTTTCTCATAAGAAGCCATTTCACATGTTGATCCAGCGGGCGTTGAGATTGTGATCTTCCCGTTAAGGTGAAGTGGTGTGACGATCGTCCGGTTGATGTTACGATGGTCATCAAAACGAAAAAGGTGCCATCATATATTTGGATGTGCAAACTGGGCTGTACTTCATCTTATCTAATCCTTATCAACTACTAACCACAACCACTTATTTGGATGCACAGACGTGGCTGTGCTCCATCTTAACCAATCCCAATTCGCCACTTCCTCTCTCCCCTTCTCCTGTTGACTAGCGAATAAGGAAGCTTTGAAGAAAGCACTTAAATGTTACCGAAGTCTTGTGGGTATGAATTAGGGGACATACCACAACCGTCACTACTTGTAGGAGTTGCGCCCTGCTTGGCATTTATATCTCTAAATTTGGTAGCCAATGCTAACTGGTTCCGAACTGGAGTGTCTACTAGGAGATAAAGGGCTACAGTCCTTAGGAGTCGCGCCCCACTTGGCCACAAAAGCCCTTAGATTTGACAGCCAGTGCCAACCAGCGGACCAAAAGCCGGAGCATTCACTAGGGAGTGCAAGTATACGATGTCGGGGCTTTCTCTGCCACAGGATAAAAAGATGCGAAAAGGTGTAATGTGATAAGTAACCTTAGGAAATAATTAGCAACATTGACTGCCTTCACAAATTGGACCGGTAGGTTAGGTGGTTTAAACTAGCAGTAGGACTTCCATCCCCTAGATAGGTCCCCCCAAAAATATGAACCCACTTCATGAGTGTTACTAGTATCGCTGGGGCAATAAGTAGATAGGCTAGCATTTAGTTGTTGTAATAGCAATAGACGATGTTTGATATATATGTAATTGATAATTCTCAATAAAATCCCTGCATCTAATGCCATTCTACTATAAAAAAAAAAAAAGTTTTTTTATTACACACTGTATTATCGAGATTGAAGATAAATCTAATCATGAAACTTTACTATACCTATAAAAAAGATTATATACTTTTCAGTTCCTTTTTCACAATATATTATTACTAAGTTTTGATTCCAAAATTTCTTTCTGACTTGATACTATTTTTATATAAAAGGATTGTGAAAAACGATTTCAGTAAAGATGAATTATATGATATTTATCAAGATGCTATATAGGTATTCGCACTTAATTTATTCGTGAATAGATTAATAAAATGAATAAATAATCGAACATTTATTTTCCAAATTGTACCAAAATTCATTCTTGTCAAATATTCGCATATCTACTAATCAAAATAAAATTAAAAGATTATCTGATACCTGTGCCATTTATATTGTGTTTTCTAAAAATGTTCAAAGTACTGTTCCAAAATAAATTCTTCCCCGTAGAAGTCATAATATTCGATGTTTCTATTTTTATGTTCTAATAAGGAGGCGAGTTTGGTTTCAATATTTATTATTTCACATGATTAAATATATGTGAAGTACAAAAGAAACATAGAAATTTACCTCATTTTATGATGTATCATATTTGTTGTTTGAGATTAAAACGATTAAACAAAGTTTATTAAATAAATTAAAACATGTCCAGATAATATATAAAAAATAAAAGCTGAAACCACACTCTTACTATCCATATGGTAAGCGAAATATGTGGCTTACCTTTGTGCGTGAAAGGTTCACCGCCCATATGGCAAGTAAGGTCATTTCATGCACACCTTCGCCAATCTGATCAACCATATGCTAAACCAGTCGGCAGGCGACTACGAAGAAGAGGTCACAGTCCATATGACTAGTGATGGTCTCCCCTTCGCACTTCCAGTATGTCTGCCGTCCATATAACCGCATGGGCATATGGGCTAGTATCGGTATTTCCAAAAGCTGAATCAAATTACATGCCTTAAGTAAAGAAGCCAAAACTTACCTAATATTATATAAGGATTGCTCCAGAGAAGTGCTAGTAGGCATAATAGAAAATAGAAAATTGTTATTTATGATTTCTCATTTTATTTGTTTACGTTGCACATTACTTTGTTTATCAACCAATAAAATCAATTTTTTTTGATTTTGCGTCATCCTTGTGCCACTCGTACCGCATTGGTACAGATTATACATGTGATTGAAAACCCCTTAAAGATATTGACCAATCCGAAAGTCCGAAATCTAGATTTGAAATTAATGCCAAATCCAAAATTCTT